CCTGCTCTAGGTCTTGTAGTTCCTTGAATGATAGGATGGGTGAGAGGAAGGTTTGAAGATCTGGTGATTTCAAGGGTGAGGCAGTTTGGCCGGAACGTTTGTTCATTTACAGCAGAGATGGCTTTGGAATATCAGGATCTGAAAGACTGTCCAGGCCTTTTTGGTCGTAAGCTGTCCCAGCCTCACGTATAGACCACATTTTATCCCAGTATGGTATATATATATATGCATACATTCACTCCTGAAACCACTCCAATGTATGCAAAAAAGGCATATATATATATATTATATGCATATATGGAGTGTCTGGGTATGTGGAGTGTGAGTCTCTCTTCAGCCGTCTGCTGTTTTTTTCGCAGCGAAAACCAGGATTCCTTGGATTTTTGGCTGGCTGCGGTACTCGTTCATGCACCTGATGCACGCCTGGTCATCGTCGGAACTCACGACACTCCGCAAAACATGGGAGGAAGGTCGGACGGCACAGAAGATTGCAAGATGTGAGTGGGTCAAGTGCGATCTGTGGGAACATCCATGACTTTGCAGGTGGGCAGATATATGATCTCTCTCTCTCTCTCTATAGCCAATTATGATCTCTATCACTATTGTTGCTTTCATCAGGCTTCCTTTTTGCTTCCATCTATAGTGCACGGATGTGCCAGGTCAAGCCTTTTCGGTCAGACGGTGCAGGGACCAACTCGAAGGTTTTTGGGGGCTCGCCGTTCTGTTTGACAGACTCGAGAGTTGTGACACACACATGCGGACTGACATAGCCTGACATAGCAATGCCGTCAACTAGCAACCAGCTGGTACACTGGAGCCCTTGGATTTAGCCGAGGATGATTTGGTACCGCCCCATTTATCCTGTCTGGTACGTGGCCGAGTCAACGAATACCTTCAAAAGCGACTGGACAATCCGGTCTTCCACTCAAGACTCTATGTGAACGAAGAAGAGCAGTGGCTTGGCATCAAAGCGGAGAAGGCCCGAAAGCCTTTTCCGCTGTCGCTTGCAACACTTTTGAATCTCTTGAATCTCTCTTGTTACTTGTGGTTTGTCATAGCCTTCATTGGTTGCGTTCGATGTTTTCTTTTCCGTGTATATATTGTTATTGTTATTTATTATCATTATTGTTATTATATCTTATTCCTATCAGTTTACTTTTTTGCTGCATTCGTGGTGGAGGTTTGAAAAACCGATGTCCAAATGCTTCGCGTTCTTCGTCTGGGCCGTTTCCGCTCGGAGGACCAGATCTTTGGAAGAGTTGTTCGAAAGAATGAATTGAAGGAAACAATATTGGCATTTCTTTTCTGGTGTGTAGGAAGGAAGGAGAAGAAAGGAGAAGAGGGAAACAAGGTCTTCCTTCTTCTTCTTGGCATTTCTTTATTTTCCTAGTGTGTGTAGGAAGGAAGAGGAGGAAGGAGAATGGATCCTACGGAGTATATCGTAATACGTACCGTAACCATAGGTCAGTCTATTACTTGATTTGTTTCAAGCATTGTTAGCATTGTTGCGTCCTACCCTTCAACCCATTGCACCTAGATGAACACGATCCAACGCCAAGATGCTCTCCCCAGTGGCCCTCAAGGTACACACAAAGTGCTTTTAGAAAACAACGATTTCAAGCTTCATCGGGTCCTAAATAGCGGCTTCAGCTGAGACTATGGCAACATGTCTCGACGAGTAGGACGGTTTCGACCTGCATCCCAACGGAGCGACGAGACAATGCTCTCGTCGTGTGGTCTAAAAACTCATATCCCATCATATCCCCAAACCGAATAAATTAGCCGCTGGATTGATATGGACTGATCCTCTGTAGATCCCTTTGTTGGGCATTTGCTTCTTGGAACCGGCCCAGATTGCTCTTCTTCCCCGTGGACAACAGCCGTTCGAGCGAGTCCTCCAAGAAGGGCCTGGCACGGCTGCGGCGGATCTTGGACCAGCTGGCCTTGGAACAGGCGGAGGAGACTGACACAGCGTGCGTCCGTGCGTGGGGAGTGGCTCTGAAAGAGCAGAAAACTCTTAGAAATTTGATGAGTGGTTGATGTTGGCTTGGCCAAGAATTTGTAGGCGAGGGAGTTACAAAGAGGCAGGGGAGTTGTGTTTCGGATGGACAGTGGGGTGGGGTCAGTTTTCCTCCCAGAACTGATGGTGTTTAAGCCAACCATACCCACGACATAGATTCCTAGAACAACCAATCTACATATGAACAATCTACATGTGTAATCCAACATCATAAGGAAGCGTCCAGAGCTAAACCCTGTTTGGAAGAGTGTCCCCTTGCCAATGATTCCAGCTTGCACTGTCAAGAGACAAGAGACCGGAGCTCTTTGAGAGGTTGGGAGGCTCGTTGGGTGTTCAACATAGTTTAAGGTCACATTGGTGTGCGCTTCATATCATGGCTGACAGCACTTCTGCTCATGTTTGTGGATGTGAAAAACGGAATCTAGTGCCCCCCCACTTGACGGAACTATGCCGCAAAAGTGACCTTCCTCTAAGCACGCCATGTTCATCCCACATGAAATCCATTTCCCTTGGGCTTCTTCTCGCCACCCCCGACGATGTTTGGCCCCTGCCAACACACGCCGCGCGGCCCCAGTGCCGCATGGCCAGGATGCTGGATGGATCCCCACTCGCTGGGCTCAGTTCTATACGGTGATCGCCTCGAGCGATTGGAGGCCGGCGGATGAGAGTCTGCCAAGTTCAGCGCTGCCACAAAGGGGTGGATGAGGGAGGAATGAGGAGGGAAGGAAACGATATGAAAAGACCAACCCAGGAATAACTAACAATCTGACCAAAGTCGCACTCTATACGTCTTAGGTTGTATCAAGTTAAAGTTATGTTTCTTTTCCCATGTCCAATTATGTTTAATTGATGTCTTCGGGGCTTTGATAGCAGACTTTGGTCATGTGGATCAGTGTTGAAAACTGAAGGATTTGCAATCTCACGTTAACACACATTATTTTACATGATGTTACCTGTAAAATCACGGAAACAACCATTTACATGCATTACATGGTAAACGGACATAGGTTCCTTTTCCCCCTGTCCCTTAACAACAAGGGGATCAGCCACATCGTTTTTCTTCCCGGCCAGCTCACCCAGACCCTTCGTCACGCTGGAGGAGCTGCTTGGCGTTCAGTGCGGGCGTCGGTCGGGCGGGGCGGGAGCGGTCCCCGCTGGGACGAAGAGTTTTGTGGGGGAGGATGCTGCAAGGCAGATGTGCTTTGGGTGATGTAGGACAACTTTGTGAAGCTTTGTGAAGCATGGAGCATCATGGAGCATCATGGAGCATGCAGGCATGGTGGTTTCTCCTGGGTTACGTCTGATCACGTCGTCTCATCTGGGTGAATGTCCTAGGTTGACTTCAAAGGCAGCGCACTTCGGGATCAACTGCCAGGTGAGGAAGGGTGATCTGCACTTCGAGTGATCGGGACGGATGGAGAAACAACGGAACCCTGTGGGATCTGTTTGGGGATTTGGTGGATATTTGCATATACTAATCTGATCAGACATGATCAGAACACACATAGACCACTGGACCCAAAGAAAAAAATGCAGGCAACGAGGAGAATAGGGGAGCAGCCGTGCTGCGAACGTCGCAGGCAACACAAAAAAAAGCAGCGGTGCTACGAATCGAAATGAATTATCGATGTTAATTCCATTGAAGTTTGGGACTGAGGTCACTGGAGGTGCACTGTTTAAATCCCTGAATCATGGTTACGTGGATGGCGCCCGTGGAAAATGACCATTTTTCCTCTAGAAACAGGTGGTGCCATCCACTTCCATGTTAGTGATTCGGAGTGTAACTGCTCCTTTTCTGACTCGCCACTGAGCAACTATGAGCAACGAGACTTGCACTCGCCTTCCATCCTCTAGGAGCTGGAATCGTGCTTGCGCCTCTTCCACGGACTGGGTCAACTCTTGCACTTTCCAGGCATTCGACCGACGAAACATGACGAAAACACGTCGAAACGAACACAGCGAAACAGGGACTTTTTGTCTTCTGGGCGTGAAATGGCTCCCGGAAATCACGGGAAAGAAGCCCGGTGGAAGATCTGGAAGTGTTTAATGATTTAACATGATTTAACATGATTTAATGATCTTCATGGTCGGAGAGGATCGCCTGCGGTCGGTGTGAGGCTCGCCCGCGGTGGTCTTGGATCCCCAATGGCTTTTGGAAGCCATGGCGCAAGTCGTGGGATGCCCTCGAGTGATGCAGCATCTGAGCTACAAGCGATGGGCTACTACGCGTGAGAGCTCTATTGGGCGGCGATCAAAATTGGGGAGCAAAAGAGAATGTAGTACTGTATTCTTTTTTGCTCAATGAGAGAGACATAGAGAGGTGGGTTTCCGATGGCATTGTGACTTAAGTCGTGTTGCGAGTGAGAACTACCTTCAAGAGCAGGATAACCAAGAAGTTGGGTCGGCCAGGTATTGAGGAGATGGAGGAGATGTTGACCCATAATCACGAAAGCTAGCATGCTAGCTGAGTTCTTCTTTGCTTTAGCAATGTTGTGGTGGGAGGGGCTGCGTGCCTTAAAGATTGATATATCAAGCTAACCCCCCCCCCCCCCCGCGGTTCAACTCCCAGCTGCGCCGTGTAGGGGGTTGGTTGAACGTGGTTGGTTGGGTGTAAACGGTGGCTTGGTGTAAAGGGTGCTGCTGCTGCTGCCGCTCTGCTGCTTGCTGCTGCTGTTTGCTGCTGCCACTGGTTGCCGCTTTTGTAGCTGCTGCTTTGCTACTTGTTGCGGCTGACGACGCCGCTGCTACTGCTGCTTGCTGCTTGCTGCTTGCTGCTGCTGCTTGCTGCTTGCTGCCGGTGGTGCTTGCTGCCGGTGGTGCTGCTGCTGCTGCGGCTTGATGCTGCGCTGCTGCTGCGTGGTGCTGCTGGCTGGCTGCTGGTTGGTGGTTGCTGCTGGCTGCAGGCGGCTGCTGCTGCTGCTGCTGCTGCTGCTGCTGCTGGCTGCTGCTTGCTGCATAGGACTTGTACTTCACCGTTACAAGTTGTTTACCCCTATTTCTAACCTAATGCATGCATAAGCGGGTGGTAAATTTACCCCCCAGGCTTGCTATAACCATACACCGGCTATTTCCTCAAGACACTCTATTCTTGATACCTTTTACCAGTGCTTATCCTACACTACGGACGCCCTAGTGTAT